TTATAAACAAAAATAAAAAGAGTAGATATAGGATGTGAATGGCTATAACTCTCTTATTATTTGTAGTGGAAGTTGTTTCAGTAGAAACAACAGAGGATTTACAATTGTTGTTACTATGATTACAAATCAAGGACAACTCACTTGTAAAGCACTTGTTAACAGAGGCACCATTCACAAGTCTTTTACAACTGAAGGAATTTGTGGGGTTGGGATGCGAGGTTCATCATTGCCGAATGTGTTGTTTTGTTGTTTTTATTCTTAGTCATTAATCTGGCTTCATTTTCTTTTTTATTATTTTACTTTCTTTGTTTTACTTATTTTTTATTATTTTACTTTCAATTTATTTCTTTTCTACCTTCGTTCTTTTTAAATATTGTTTGCACTTAAAGAAAAAAAAACAGAACAAAAATAAAACATTTTTTGAAAAACATTTTCACTTTTCCTTTTTTCCTTTTTCTAAATGTGATTCTCAAGCCTGTGAGTCTTCCGTCCATTCATAAATTTCTCTTTATTGCTGCCTTATTTTAGTTGCATCAGTTGCATGTCTTGAAAGGAACTGCCATATTTCCTTTAGCACAACTAAAAATTCTTCCTCTTCGCATCCATTTCCATCCAAAGAATATATTTTGGTGTAATGCAACATTTCTTTCACAAATAGACCTGTTTCTGGGACTGCTATCCTGATGTTACTGAAAATAGTCAGTCTCTCTCTCTGAATTTCTGAGGTGATGAGTTAATATTATTGTTATAGGCTGATCTATTCAGTCAGAGGAGATTCCTCATCTTGGTTATTATTATTACATTTTGGCTGTTCTACTCTCTACTCTCTGTCATATTTGATAAACTTCCAGGAATTTTAAATCAAATGTTTTATTCAATCCATGTGAGTAGATTGCTCTGATTTCACTATCCGAAAAGTGTATTACATAAAGTCCTCATCCCAGAATAGACTTTGTGCTTAGTATCCTTCAGAGAAGCCAAGTGCAGTGGTGACCTGTCCAGTTCATGTTCTGCCATCCATTTGCACATATTCCTTAGCTGTTTTATTTACTGTAGAACAAAATTTATGTTGCCACAAGTCTCCTTGTCATCTGTGAGGGAATTGTCAATTGTCAAAGTGTGAAGTTTATAGTATTCTTTGGTCTTAACTCAATAAGATAACATAAGAATGTAAACTATCAAGATGAAAGCAAACCATAAGTGATTAAGATGTTACTATAGACTAACTTAATTTGCAGGTTCTCAGCATGATTATTTATTGTAGGTATATTATTTATTTCAACCAATAAATGTTTCCACACCCAGTATCTATATCAGCAGGCAGTGACCACTAGCTCAATAGGCTAAAGCACAATGTGACAGTGAGGGGTGGTGGTGTTGGGAGAGAGGGTAGAGGAGAAGGGAAGTGGGATGGCCTTTGGACTACATCTTGAAGTGTGAAACCATGGTGAGTTGTCCAATGTTACTTTTACATTACAGCTGATGAAACAGACAAGACAAGCAAAATCCAACAATTTAATTATAATAGACCCAGAAATTCAAAAGCAGCAATAATAATGACCAATTTATATATACAAGTATACATATACATATATACACAAGCATCCACATACATATAAACATACATATACATATATACACAGATACATGCCTAAACACCCACACACACATGTATATAAAAATATACATATAAAACCCAAGCAAAACAAACATAAACACAAACCAATATACAAACAAATACGTACTCAGGCACATAAAACTGTGCCCATGCATGCACAGATCCACAGTGTAAGCATGTACACATATACACATGCATATAAGTAAATATGTAGGTACAAATACATACAAATAAGTATAAATAAGTGCATACACATGTACATAAACACACACACACAGACACACATGCATATATATACATACATATATAAATATATATTCATACATATACATATATACATACATCTACACATACACATATATAACCAAGTATACACATAAGGAACAAAAATAGCACAGACACACAAACAAATATAACGTAAACCCTGAATGCACACATATATATACACATATATATACACATGTACATACAGACACACACACACACACACACACACACATATATATATATATATATATATATATATAGAGAGAGAGAGAGAGACAAAGGAAAAAAAAAAGAAATATATATATATATATATATATATATATATATATATATATATATATATATATATATACACTACCAGTCAAAAGTATTTGCCAACCTACAAAAAATTTTATTTCTCATCCTAAAAGTGTTATTTTTAATGAAACAAGTTAAGCACCACAATGGTTTTATTTATTTTACTAAATACAAGTCTTCTGCAGTAACTTTGACTTTAGTATAATCCAGATATCTTTTGAAAAATTGATTTGAAGGTGATTTTCTTCTTTAGTACTGAGCATGAATAAAACTTTTTCCAAAAGTTACATTATACCCCCACTTGAACTCACATTAGACTATATTGCGTTGAATTACTGCTTGCTAGATACTACCTGTTTTTGAGCTATGTTGCCAATGTACCTTGCCCAGTAGTAAAATTTTTTTTATTCTTATTTTGTTTAAATTAAAAACTAAATTTTCCAACTTTCTTCTGGATCAAAACTTTTTTCTCAGTAAAATGCTGAAAACATATAAACTGGTAGTGTATATATCTACTCATACACATACATATACACATATCACCATACACATACATACACATACAAAAATGTGAAACATTTGTTTTGCAATGGGCAATTATTATGTTTTCTACAATTACATTTGTTAGCATTATTAATACTAATTCTTCTATTTTGGTTTTTGGTTATTATATTGGTTTAGAATTTTGTTATTGTGTTTCTTTATGATTTTTTCAAGGTTATCAATACAACTATAGCTTAACTTCAGTTTGTTTTTTTTTATTGAAGATTTTATTAAGTAGATTATTACTGGGAAATGCTCATTAATTAAGCTGAGAAACTTCTACCATTGCTTACTTTTTACCATTTAACATGCTTTTGTTATAATTGTTAATAAATATTATTAAGCTAAACTCTGTATTGAGCACTTTTAAAAATATAATGTTGAACATTGGAATTAACCTACCTTACTATGTGTAGTGTATATATATATATATATATATATATATATATATATATATATATATATATATATATATATATATATATATATATATATATAGAAACGGCTGTCCAGTGCTTTATGCATTCTGTTGAGGTTTCTTCCAGACTTGATGAATTAATTAAACATAATTATCAAATCCTCCTAATAATTTCCATCTATGTATATCATTGCTTAAAGCAGCTTCTAATGCTTTAGAGTTAGCGGCTTGGTGAGAGTAGTCGTGGCTCCAGGGGGCACAGTCCTATGGTTACAGAGAACTCAGTAGAGTCCCACCACGGAATATGTGAGCGAGCGGCGTTTTATTGAGTCTGATTTGCAATCTCTTCATCACCGAGGCTCATTGGAACAGTTGGTATGATGTTTGCTTGACAACCTAACTGTCAGAGTTTCAAGTCTCAGTAGTGGATGCGCACTGCTGATGAGTCCCAAATATAGAACGAAACGGCTGTCCAGTGCTTTCTGCATTCTGTTGAGGTTTCTTTCAGACTCGATGAATTAATTATATATATATATATATATATATAATTGTGTATTTGGGAAGCAATATATTAATTTTTTAATATATTTATGTATACATTAAATGAAATATCAAGTCAATTAATATAGATATATATTATGAGTGGGATTAAGAGGGAGAGATATATTTTATGATAAATAGATATCTTTTCATTTAAGATAAGATAAAAAGATATGATTCCACATTTTTGATATGTTTAAAAGAAGGGGATATCTTTTCATATATTTTATAAAGTTTTAAAGTAAAGAGATAGAAGACATGGTTTTGCCTATACATTATGCAATAAAGTGACATGTTTCCATTTAAGATAAGATTAAGTCATATGTTTCTATATATTTGATATGCTAAGATCAAGATACATTTCAAACTTGAGATGAAGATATGTTTCCAACTTATTTGATTAGATGTTAAATTTATTAATGAAAGAACAGAATGAAATTTGCATATGAAAAAGACTTATGAGGTGTTTGTGAAAAATTCTCAAAGATAATGACTGCTAAGTTAAAATTAAATTTTAGAGTCTGTGCCATACACAAATACATATCTACTTGGATATATATGCATGTACACATGTTCATGTTCAGTAATATCATTAAATTATGCAGAGAATCTTAATTTAATATACATATGCATACATCAGAATGAATATAATGAGGAAAATTAAAAATTTATATATATATATAAATATCAATAGCAAATTAGAGAACTTTTTCCCATCATGTATATAGGTAAGTTAATGTTCAGAACCTAACCATGAGAATAGCATTTATTTTGTACACAAATATTTCATTTATTTTTCAACATAACTCCTTCATTGTCAATGCTCTTAATCCACACTTATTCGCATATGTAAACTTAATATTATTCAGTGAAAATGTCTGATCAAAATACAATTAATTGTGTCAGTCTGTAAACTTAATGATTCGCCCTCATATCTCTCTCTTTCCCTTTAATATCTGGTTAATATATATATATATATATATATATATATATTATTTTAATTCTTTTTTTTTTTTAGTTGATTCCCATATTTGGGCTGATGCTCTGTTTATTTTTTAAACAGTATTTTATTTCCTCTGCCAGGTTGAAAATTCGAGAAATCTTATTAAAGAAAAATGTGTACTACCATCTAAAAAATTTAATTTTCTTTCATAAGTTTTCTAAAATATTCAGGCCAGTAGATAGAATAAAATAGTGTTTAAAAAAATAAATGGTACATCTACTCAAATATGGATATTCACTAAAAAAAAATGTTTAAATTAATAGAAATATGTTGTATTAATAAATTAAAAAAATCTTTCTTTAGAAATAATAGATTTATAGATAGATAGATAGATAGATAGATAGATAGATAGATAGATAGTTGGATGTGGCTAAATCTGGTGGTGATGACGAATTGAAAACTTCTGTAAGAAATTTGCTACATTAGCAGCCTACTGAGTTTTATGAAAATGGGATACATGCCTTCATTTATAGGTTGCACAGTGCCATTGAAAAAAGTGGTGACTATATTGATAAGAAGGGATGTGAATCTGTGATGTATAGTGATATCTTGATATATTTGATAATGTTTCAAATAATGCAAATTGAATTACTTTTTGATTCATCCTCATATTATATATCATTCCATATGCACATAATACTAGATATGAGTATATGAATATATGTATGCTATATTTCAGTATTTATTTATAATGTATAGAAATTACTTGGTGTCACTGTGTTAGCAATTGATAATGGATAAGTCTGAAAAGTTAGTTTGAATATGATATTGATTTTACTGATATTACATCTGAATATCTTGAATTAAAGTTAATCATAAATTATTAGTTTTAGTTTCTACATTTGAGCCATCATTTTTCACTTGCATAAAGTAAGTATTTGTACGATGACTATTATACACATGATATTTTTAAAACTCAAATTTTTCCCCATATCATGAAATTTGATCCAGATATTGGCCAAGTTTAATGATTTGAATGCTTGAAATGAAAATGAATTTTCCATCCAGATAAAAGTGCTGGCAAATGTTTCAATGATATCAGCCTAAATATTCTAACATTTGAATACTGATTATAATGAGCCACTGTCCAGAATATCTTAACTTTTTATCATTTGATCTGTGTTTTAGTTTCTATGACTTTATTTTGTCAGGTTATTTATATTAAGTAACAGTGGATAGCCATAATCTGAAACAAGAGAATGGAATCAAGCCTGACTAACTATATATAGAAGGTTATGTCATTTAATGTTGAATTTAGTCTCACAGGAGAAAAATCACAGTGGATCATATAAAAGGTAGACATAGATCCAGTTTACACTAGAATGAAAAAGTGAGATAGAGATCAAGTTTGTGTTAGAGTTAAAAACATACTCTTAGATCCAGTCTATACCAGTTTACAAGTTTGTGTGTTTGTTAAGCAGCATATCAACTCCCTATAGGTCATTTAATGCTGAAATTTAATTTTCTTCGAAGCATTAGTAATTGCTTTTACAAAAATGTATTGTTGGTAATTTTTTTTTATTATGAAATTGTATTGCTAGTAGTTTTACTATAAAAATGTATTTTAATACTTTCATAGTGTTTTGACCCCAGTTTGAGAGTTAAACTATTTGCCCGTAGCTACCACCCTGGGTCAAGGGGTACCTGAGAAGAACAGAAAGTAAGAGGTAGTTCTACACTCTTCAAAACCTCCTGATCGAAAGCCTTGCTGCCAGATGTAGTTTATCATCTTACCCAGGACAAGAGTCTACAAGTATTTACCTGAAAGGTGTTTTTTTTGGGAGATGGCTATCAGTCTGCCGAAAGTGCAGCTGGCATATTCTCTGTCCTGCTATAGGAAAAGGAAGTGTAAAAAACTTTATCTTTGATATATGTTTTTTTGTAAAAATGTACTGCATGTTTATCTGTAGTAGCAACCCATCACATGATTAACTCTGCTAATAGCTGCAGACACTATGCTTTATTGAAATGTGATTGGTTTATAAATAGTTGCAAAGGAATTAAGGATTATTAATACATCATAGCATCTCAGTATCTATTACATGAACTTTTTAACCCTTTTTTTAAATCAGTATCACCCCAGACAAGGCAGTAAAGCCACTAAAGTACAAGGGTTTACAGGTTGTGAAAGAATTAGGAACAGAAACATTAATAATGAGCAAGAAGAGAAAGGAGTATTCAGGAGGCCAGTAGATAGCAATTGACATTGCATTTAAATTTTTGCAGATTAAAGTTGGCTGGAAAGCATGGAGACAGAATGGAGTTCCACAAATGATAAGTGTGAGAAAAGAAACTGTTAGCATAGAACGTATGACTACCTCTAGTAGCTAAACTGTAAACTGATAAGATCTCGACTCCAGTCTAGTACTGCACTTAAATTCATAATGTCTAGGTACCATAGCGAAGAGCTCATCCGAATATTTACCATGGAAGTATTTATAGAAAAGGCACAGAGAGGCAATGTTACAGTGGTGAGTAAGTGACTGAAGCTGAGCTGCCATATCAAGACAAATAATATTGCTGATTCTTCTTTGGATCTTATCCCACTCTACTACATCTCAATTTTCATAAGGTAGTATTCATGTAAAACATAAATTTTATTGTAACCTATTTTATTGTACAATAATAGATCATATGAAATATAGATGAACAATTCACCAAGAAAAATTGAAAAATAAATACAATATATCTAAATCCAAATTAAAGTTATGTCAAAATAGATCATTCCATCTATAATAAATCAACCAATGTTTAACAGCAATTTTTAACATCAACTTGAGATTTTTCTTGTTAAAAAGTTGAAGAATTTTAACACATTCAACATTATGGATAAAAAAATAGTGAATTTTACAGTGTTTTTTCAAGGCTTACCATGAACAAAATAAATTCATGGATTTGGACAAAAAAAGACCCAGAATGACATCAAAATCAGTGAAGATTTTTCATCCTTTAATAATCAGTTGTGCTTAGGTTTTTTTTCTTTTTTTAAGGCAATTCACCCCAAGCAAGGCAAGAGTGCCACTAGCATGCAAAGGGTTACAGAGGATTGAGAACAAGAATAAAGAGGCATGTAGGATACAGAAAAAAATGGGGAACAAGCTCAGATGTTGATTGACATTACACTTGAATATTTGAAGATTATAGTCATTGTGGAAGCAAGTAACAGGAAGGGAGTTCCACAAACGGGAAGTGTGGGAGAAGAAGTTGTTTCAGTAGAAGAGATGGTTACATTTAACCATTTTTACAGTGAAAGGGTGGGACCAATATGCCAGCCTGGTAGCTCACTTAAATTCATGCAGTCTGGGAGCCAGCGAAAGTAGCTCGTCAAACAGTTGCCATGAAAATAATTTTTTAAAGGCAGAGGGAGGCCACAGCATGTCTGTGAGACAGCGATTGTAGACTAGATGCCAGATCAGAACCTATCATCTTGCATATTCATCTCTGGATTTTGTTGAGGACCTCAAGACATACAGTGGGAGCACCAGACCATAAATGGCAGCAGTATTCCATGCAAGGGCGAATGGTTGATTTATAGATTTGAAGGGTGGACTCAATGAGAAAAACTTTCTGTCACAACACAGAGAACCAATTTTCCTTGTGGTAGATGAAGCTATTAATTCAAGAACCAACTTTCCTTGTGGTAGATGAAGCTATTAATTCAAGAACCAATTTTCCTTGCGGTAGATGAAGCTATTAATTCAAGAACCAATTTTCCTTGTGGTAGATGAAGCTATTAATTCAAGAACCAATTTTCCTTGCGGTAGATGAAGCTATTAATTCAAGAACCAATTTTCCTTGTGGTAGATGAAGCTATTAATTCAAGAACCAATTTTCCTTGCGGTAGATGAAGTTATTAATTCAAGAACCAATTTTCCTTGTGGTAGATGAAGCTATTAATTCAAGAACCAATTTTCCTTGTGGTAGATGAAGCTATTAATTCAAGAACCAATTTTCCTTGCGCTAGATGAAGCTATTAATTCAAGAACCAATTTTCCTTGTGGTAGATGAAGCTATTAATTCAAGAACCAATTTTCCTTGTGGTAGATTAAGCTATTAATTCAAGGACCAATTTTTCTTGTGGTAGATGAAGCTATTAATTCAAGAACCAATTTTTCTTGCGGTAGATGAAGCTATTAATTCAAGAACCAATTTTCCTTGTGGTTGATCAAGCTATTGGTTCAGAAACAGCTTTTACAATGTAGGAAAAAAAATGATTATGCTGATAATATAGTGAGGGAACCTTGGTTGAGAGGTTTGTTGGTGGGGGGGGGGTAGTATGCATCAGCACTGACTGTCACCACCCAGTAGTCAGGGTTTAGCAAAATAACTGAGCAATTCAGGGAGAAAAAAAACTTAAAATGAGCAGAGTTTCAGGTGGTTAGATGTCAGTCTAATCTATTATCTTATAACTAAACAGATAAAATTATCCAACAAAATTTAATGGTGATAATGTTTTTTTTTTTTTCATTATTCTATAACTCCAATTCAATAAAAAAAAATAATTTTTCTCAGCAAACCAATTTAATCTTGAATGCCTGCTCAGGTAACTGCGTATTGGACTCCATATTGAATATTGGTTCATTTTTAAAATTTCAAAGATTAACATTTTACAATTTTTCAAACCTTTTACCTATTTGCTTTTAAAAGACTGTAACCAGAGTCAAAATATAAAGTAATGAACAAGATTTAAAAAATTTATTTCAGGTTCTAATTTTCAATCTGGTGAGATGGAACTGGTTCACAAAATGTAGATTAATAGCATTGGTAATGATATTAAAATCAATTCAAGAATATTTCTGCTATTTCAGAAAAATTGGTAAATAAAACAAATTCAAGAATAAACATTATTTTGATTTAAGAAAATCTGCTTTACTAAACACTTTCCAGATGAACCATTTTCTTAAATGTGAAATATGTGTAGAATTATTTCAATTAGAAGTTTACTGTTGTCAATTTTTATATCATTAATTATTGTTCTTAACCCTTAAATGGCAAGTACCATCAATTGATGCTTCATTGAAGACCAGTGGATATCATCAATTGACTGCCAATTAATGATTTACTAATGGTTTGGGAATCTTTCATTCATGACTTAAGTTTAAATGACAAAATGGCAACTCCAAGATTCATAAGGTCACTATTTATTAGGATTCATGAAGTTATGTAATTTCTTGGAGAATTTGCCTGCAAGTAAAGCTACAAAAACATGCCAAAACAGTGCTATATCAGCATCATTGTTTATTGAAGGTAAAATAAATGAAAAATAGTGACAACCGGGTAGAAAGAATACAAAATAATGAAAATTTAGTGCCTGGAATTTCCTCAAGGAATTTCATGCTGTTACAAATATTTCATTTTGTAACCTAACATTACTCT